TAGTAGAGCTCCTCTATGTGTTGTGTGGAGTACGGCGCCTTCCTTTTTCTTCTTATTTCACTCACTATGGAGTGAGGGGGATTTTTTTTTGTTTTTGCCACATTAAAATAGACATATGGATGGATGGATATTATTTTTTGTTTATATACTCTTTTTCCATGCATAACCTTCTACCTATTAAATTGCCGTTTATTGTATTATTTTCTAGCTTTTTTAAAAATATGATATGATTCAGTACTTGAGTAAAAAGAGAAAATATTGTCTTTACTTTCTTAACATCTTGTGGTCAGAGATTGGAGTTGCAAAGCACTAGCTCCGATCATAATTCAGTAGGGGTCAAAAACAAAATTTTGCTTGGGGGACATTCATGCTCAGACTTCAAACTTCACTCACTTGTAATTTTGCGCATGGCAACGGGCAACCCATACTTCAAATTTTATAAACTGAAGTATTTGGCGGGGCAAACAACTGTGATACTTAAAATCTCTAACACTTCACAAAACGCATACAGCTGACAAAGCACAGACCCTTTATTTATTTATTTATTATTATTATTGTTATTATTTTGTCTACAAGCTCCTTTAATGTTAAAATTTGGACTTTTATGCAATAAACAAAGGGACCTCTTTTGTCCTTCGCTAAAAACGGATAGGCCCATCTTGTGCGAGTTACCACAAGTCCATTGGGCTCGGACTTGAATTACTAGCATGCAAGAACTAGATTTTTTAAAATACAGTTTTTTTAACAAAAAAGCACAATACTTTTGTGGGTAGCGGGTTACCGTAAGCCCACTAGGCTTTACAATCAAATTTCCAGCGCACAAGCATTGTACCTTTTAAAAATATTTTTTTTATCAACAGAGGTTGGTTTGAGTGGTAAGCAACTCGATTTTACTTAAGCAAGATCTCGAATTCAAGCTTTTTGTGTATGTAAAAAATTTTTGTTGGGAAACTCACCCACCAAAGTCAGGTGTGTGACTTGGGTTGGATTCGGATATAGTCAGGGCAAAGCTTTGGTACACCTAGTGGGCAACCAAAAAATAATAATAATAATAATAATAGTTTTTTTGGTTGTTTTACTAAAAGTTTTATGGGAACTAGTTTGGTTGACGTTGATTAGTTAGTTCGTTTGGTTCTCCAATGAGCTCAAAGTGGCCCATCCCCTGCTCGGATTCAGTTTATCTTGTCATTATAATCAGGTCAGAATATTTCATATTATTACTTGCTGAGAAACGAATTAATACATGGATATATAACAAGTGGCACAGGTAGCTCTAACTATAACTCACTCTGAGAGTTTCTCGTCTGTCGAGTCAACAAACATTTTAGATGATAGTTGGTTTTGGTTGCTTCACTGAAACCTTACCCGCACATCCCATCACATGATCACTAACTGCTCTACTGATGCAAATATTTAATGGGTCACTGCACCTCCTCCACAAACTCACTACACTAATAATTTCTTAGCTGGCGCATGCATTCACTGCTCTGGTCGAATGTTTCTTATAACATGTATGATGAGAATACAATATGTTAGCTGCTGTTTGCCTCACTAGGGACCTTTTTTGAGTTATTTTCTTCTCCTTAACGTTGGCAATCACCCTCCCTGTATTATTTTGTAGGACACTTTATTCTAGTTGCCTACTTTCACAAAGTTAAAAATAAAAAGGGAAAAGACACTATCTGCTTAAAAAGTGTTGAAAGTTCAAGAGATTTTATTCTGCTTTGTTTACGCCTTAATCAATGAATTTCGTTAACTCAGTTTTTGTCTTGATGCTCTTTCTTTTTTCTCTTTTACCACAAGATCTTGGAAGACCGCCCTTTAATGAAAAAGGCGTGGTTCTATGCATAACAAGGTAGTTGACCAGGTCAGCTATCCTGAAATTAGGTTTATTCTATCACCATGGTCACTTCACTTCCCGGTTTTGTTTAGACTTTTCATGATTTTGATGACTGAATTGAAGGCTCTCAGGGTCAGAGTGTTACTTCTCATATTGACGTCACATTATGAAGGAAAGGACGTGGATAGATCCATTGCGCATGTAAGAACCAGGGTTGTGTATGTATGGAGAAGAAAAAGAGAAATGACGCCAAAAAGAGAGAAAGAACAAAGGTTAGGGTCGGAGGGGGGGTTTCCAGTTGCTGCGCCTTCACACTGCACTCTAACTAGAGATAAAAGTCTGTGAACCCACCAGGTTGACAGTTCCTTTTGCTAAACTCTCCATATGCTAAAGGACCTCTCTGGCTCTGCTGTTCTTTTTTCTGAAATTCATTTTCCCATATCAACTTTAATTTAGAGCAGTTCAGATCAAGCAAAGCAGCGCCAACTAAAATGAAGTCTTTTAATTGACTGGATAGTGGATACCAATGATATACGCAGTAAGAAAATCATGGTTGGAGGCCAATGCTTTTCCCGCTCTTTAAATATTTCTGGATGAGTACTATTAAATTTAATTACAGAGGTCAGAACCCGTCAATTAAGTTATAGGCCCTGGAATATGCTAGGCTGAGAGTGGAAGGGGGGAGGGCTTTTTGCTGGTTATATATGATTGGCATTGACTTGCTTGTCCAAACGTTTTTGGATAGTTCGCCTTTTTGTGCCCCACAATTGGGATTCTACAACTTTTTTAAACCCCAAAACCAGTATAGCACCCTGTCTCCCACACCACCCGTCTAGTCGTCTGAATAGCTAATGGACACGAACTTGAGGGTCTTGGCTTCTCTCAGCACGAGACACCCTTTTGTGCCCACTCCCTTGCTGCTGCATTCCTTTCATGTACTGATTCGCGTTTCCGAAACACGGCCTGAGATTTGTGCACTTTAATTTCCTCCTTCCTTCCCTCCTTCAATGGTCCTGTAATTTGGACAACAAAAATGTTCATTTCATTTTGAACAGTCACTTTCTATTTTCCTTTTTTCCATCCCGTTATGGACTCATTATTATCAAGTGCTCTGTGTTAACCAGCCCGTGACATCAAAAAATGACTCCAATTATCTTGGTAAACTGATTTAACTTTTAAAACGTCACTGGCCTAATCGTTTTACTATTGCCATTGCAATTTTAAATGAAAACCAGGAAGAAGTTGCTTTAAACGATGTTGTTTCTAACTATGTTCCACTTTCCTTGTGAAAACAAACAAACAAACGCTCATATAATAAAGCTAGAAACAACGACAAAAGATCACAAGTTCTCAACACTTTGATTGGTTTTGCTTCTTTTGAGTTCACCTGCATATGAAATAAGTTCTCGTTTGTCTTCTTTTATCAGTTCATCCGAAAAAGCTCTTCATCATTTATAATAGCTATCTTAGCGCAAATCACTGCCAAAACATATTATCTTCTTAAAATCCCGAGATGTGACATCGCTGGCGTGTTGGCTGTTAACTAGTTTTCTGAAAATGAAATTGTTTCGGTGACACCACACATTTACCTTTCAAGCCCGTGCACCGAAACTGATCTTGTGCAGATCAATCTTTTTTTCCCACTTTTCAAATGTGGAGAATGAGTTCTCTATATATATATATATTTTTTTTTTTAACCCAGAGACTCTACAGGAGTTAGGAGCACAATATATGGCCTATCCCTGTCATTGGGATGCCATCTCAGTCAATGAGCGTAACCAGGTACTTTCAATAATTAATTGGATGTTTGGCAAAAAAAAATTAATAATAATAATAAATGGATGCAGGGAGCATGTGTGTCAGATTTATTAGAATACCGATCTATTTCATTTGATTTAAAATCACATAGTACCAATATTTTTTTCTCGTCCCTTGTATTTATTTGGCCTTGAAAACCGTCCACTGGACTTGTATAAAATTTCGATAATAAGATAAAATAGAAGTTTCATTTGTTTATCTATTGGGACCAGAATTTTCCACTGACGTGCAGGGAAGCTTAAAAATACTAGATGCTTCCGAAGAAGAAGCCTGAATTTTGTTTTATTATCAGTTTATCTTGGTTTAGCAAATAAAGTCAGTGGATATACATAAACACAAAACACAGATATATACAAGAAGTGGTAAGATATTCGTGGAGCCTGTAACATGAAAACTGGAATACTTGGATTAAAATATGTGATGAGGTAATGTTTTGGTTTGGTTGTACTAGAAGGAAAGGAAACAGTTTTCACTGTAGAAATTCCTCTGGGTTGTTTTTCTCTCACCCTGATCCCTGAGGCATCGTCTGCTTTTCCTACTTTATGTGTCCATCAGTGAGTCCGCGAGTGTGCAGCGAAAAAAGAAACTTTTTTCATGAGCAGGTTGTATGGCGACAAAAAGGGGGAACTGGGCACCTCACCGCACTCCCATCTTTTTCTTTTGTTGTATTTGTTTTGCAAGAGGTCAAGGCTAATAATAAACATATAATTATCTGTGGATTCTTTGACAAACGTTAGTCCGTCCGATGCTCAAGGACAATATGGGTATCTCCTAAAGCTAATTCTCCAAAAAGGCATTTAGACAAGGAGAAACCCCACCAAACCTCAAGTCCTCTCAGGCATCCAATGTATCCTTTATGCCTTTGCTTTCATGCCTTTTGAGGTAATCCTCGCTTTTCTTTTTCCGAAGCCCGGAGTTTTGTTACCTTGTCACTTGTATTCTCATTGTTGGATATAATCTCCGAAACTTGGATTATTGGAAGATAAGAATTCCAAAATTTGGACGGTCTAGGCTCAAAATATATGTGAACAAAAATTGGTAGGCACATGAAAAATAGGAGTCTGAGAGGGTGAAAATAAGAGAGATAACGAAGTCTTGTTCGTGTTTTTTTATTTTGTTCCGTCAGATCAGCTGGTTTTTTCAACAGCCATAATCCCCCAGAGAGAGTCAAGGATTGAAAAGGAGAGTGAGAGACAGAGAGGGGACGGATGGTCACCAACTCCCACTTGCTTGCCAACGAGAGAAGAGAATGTGGAAAATACACTGCCATTCTTTTATATTATTATTATTTATTTAAGTCCGAGCCACTATTTATTTTCTTCTCATTAGGCACCTCGGATCTCTACAGTAAGCCCTGTTTACTTTTAGCGGTTTTGACATTTTTCTCTCCTCCCCCATCATTGCTCTAGTCAGCACATTGAAACTGGGACTCGCTTCTTCAACTAATGCCCCACGAGCTGCTTTCCTCTTTCAATGCAAATGCATAAAGACCATCCATTATAAAGTTTAACGGTTCAGAGCGGGCAAGAGGCTCCTTCAAAGAGAAGGCACCTTCGTTGGTCAAAAGCATAATCTTTTCTCGATATTGGTCCTGTGTTTTAGGAAAACCATTGCAGTTCTTTCGACAACCAGACTGTATTTGCGGCAAATGAACACTTTGTGGGTACTTCCTGGAAGCTCTGCTCAGCTGAAATGCGAGAGGATAAGTGATCTCCTGGAATCTAACTAGTGGAATATCCTTGCTCGTTTGGGTCTCTGTGCTCAGGCGCCATTCTCATCTCTCAAGTTCTCCTGCTAGTTCATCGTTTCTTAAGTTTTTGGGTAAAGACGGTGTCTCTTTGATGCTCTGTTTCTTCATCGTTCACTGTTAATAACTTTGATTCGGGTGGTTTTCAGGAATGGGGCTTGACGGGGTCGGGGAAAATAAAATGGTGGGACTGAGATTGACTCAAACTCACAAGCGTTCAAAGAGGTCTCTCTCTATTTCTATTCTGTAGCTGTTCTTGCCGCTTAATAGTTAATATGTGTTCCTTTTATGCCTGTACTCTGCTGATTTTGGAGTCCCTGAAAAAGAGGTTGCTTTTTCTGAAAATGGAAAATTAAACGCTTTCACATTTCCTCTGCAATAGTTCTTCCTCTTGTTGTGCACCTAGCTAGTTTTCTAGTCTCCATAGCCAATTGAGTATATCCGGAATGGTTCCTGGTGATCTCTGGGATCAGAAATGAGAGCTCTTAGACATGATGAAAACTGGGTACTTCAAGATTTCAGCTCGGGCTCCTTTTAGGGAAATCAGTGTATATGTGAAGATAATATAAATATAAATTACAGTGTCCAACTTCTAGTTATCTCATCTTTGTATTGTGTTTATTCTTTTCAAATGACAGTTTTCCTGATAAGAAGAAAGTCGAGGAGGACAACCCAGATAATAACATCGAGGCCCCAGATCGAACAAAACTGGTATAATCAATTACTACAGCATTTTCCCCCTTCATGAAATGAAAATCATGCATCCTTAGGGTTAGGCGTGTCGACGCTTGCATGATGCGGGAATGAAATTGTGGTAGGAATTATGAACGCCGATGGCTGATGGCTGCTTGGAGTTAATAAATAATATAATATTTTAAGTGTAATATGAGATGGATTTGCAGGGAATTTATTTTTTGGGGCATTTATGTTGAAATAATTAATCCAATCCCCTCTAGTTGTAATATTGATCATTGAATTTAATATCTATCATATCTGGAGTCCGCAGCTACTTCCGGGCAATTATATACGAGCAAGAAGTTTGTGCCTAACTTATGGGTCTGATATGGTTCCAGGATATCGGATACCTCACAGATTGTACAAAATCTACGAGAAAACAAAATCCTGCAAGTGAAGTCCAAAATAATCTGAAGCAAGAGGTCAGTCGTCAGCGGCGTGTATTGCTTCTGCAGTTTAGCACCACGGCTAGTTCTTTTAATCATTTTCCATCTTAATTGTCCTTTGCATGGTAGACTGTTTCACCTGATAAATATTTATATTTTGCATTTATAAGCGTCTACTTTGTGTGCAGATTCTAGAACTGGAGAGAAGGCTACAACACCAATTCGAGGTGCGATGCACATTGGAAAGGGCTCTGGGATGCAGGCCTTCATCTCTTCATAATTCAAATGACGTGATAATGCCCAAAGTAGCACCAACTTCATCCAATACTTTTCACCTAATTTTGAGGCATTATCCTGTCATCTGTTTCTTTTTGTTCGCTAAATTTTAAATTTTTTTTTCCCAGCCAGCTACAGAATTAATTAAGGAAATTGCACTGTTAGAGCTGGAAGTTGTATATCTGGAACAACATCTTCTCTCCTTGTACCGTAAAGCATTTGATCAACAATTATCATCTGTATCTCCATCTACCAAGGAGGAAAAAGTAAAATCTTCTTCAATACCACCTAAGGCAAGAGTCATTGACGTTTCTAATCTCGAGAACTTATCCGCAAGAGGATGTTCTGCTATTCAGTCTGATTGTCATAAGCTTGAGACTCCAGGAAAGGAATATACTGTACAATCTAATGGACATGAGCTTGACACCCAAGGAAAAGAACATAATGGAAGTGGACAACAGAAGCTATTAGATTCCGGTGTGTACCGTTGCCATTCCTCATTATCCCAGTATTCAGCATTTGCAACTAGAACATCTCCTCCGGCAGAACCTCTAGATAAATCTTTGCGTGCTTGTCATTCACAACCATTGTCCATGTTGGAGGTAAATCAACTTCTGTGGAACATGCCATAATTAGTATTGCTTTATCTTGTTTTGGAAGAATTTATGACCGCCCCTCATGCTCTTTGTTGGGAATTTCTGCTTCATCTGCGTATATTTACAATGAGTTCTATAATTGATCTTTCTTGCAGCCTTATTATGATTTGACTTTTAGTGATCTTGTGCAGTATGCCCAAACTGCATCATCAAACGTAATCAGTCTGGCAGAACATCTTGGTACTCGCATATCTGATCATATTCCGGATACACCTAATAGGCTTTCTGAAGAAATGGTCAAATGCATATCAGCTATATATTGCAAGCTTTCAGACTCGTCTTTGACGCAACCTGGCCTTTCATCCCCCAGTTCATCCTTGTCATCAATGAGCGGCTTTTCTCTGGGAGATCAAGGTGATATATGGAGTCCAGGATTCAAAAATAATTCCTCTTTTGATGTTCGGTTAGACAACCCTTTCCATGTTGAAGGACTCAAGGAGTTCAGTGGACCATACAGCACCATGGTTGAAGTATCATGGATTTATAGAGATGGTCAGAAATTGGGTGACACCGAGCTGCTGCTCCAGAATTTCAGGTAAGCCTACTCATTAGGTCAATAAATTTCTCAAGTTGAAAACATATAATTAAAAGGAAGTAGCCTCCTGGAGTTTTTAGCTTTATACTTTCTGTTTTTTCAGGTCACTCATCTGTCAGTTGGAAGAAGTGGATCCTGGGAAGTTGAATCATGAGGAGAAACTAGCTTTTTGGATCAACATACACAATGCCTTGGTGATGCATGTAATTGCTCCTTTAAAAAATATGCCCCCTTTAAAATGTCCATTTCTTTCATTTAGTGAATATTAATTCATTCCTCGGTGTATGTAGGCATTTTTGGCTTATGGGATTCCACAAAACAATGTGAAGAGACTATTTCTTCTCTTGAAGGTAAAAAATGAAAGTGGTTTTAATAATTAATTGAAGGATGAAACTTTTAACCTATCTGACTGCTTATTGGCTGTTGCCGTGTTCTTTCCAGGCTGCATACAATGTTGGGGGTCAGACTGTTAGTGCAGACACAATACAAAGTAGCATCCTTGGATGCCGACTCTCCCGTCCTGGGCAGGTAGCTCCCCTCCCCACTATTTAAAACAAAGATACATACGGAAGTTCTATTCAGAGCTTTGTTCCATTGTTATCTCCTCAAAAGGCAAAGATTACTTTTCATCCTAATCACTCTTGACTTAATTGGGAACTTCATTAAACTTACCTTTGTAGTGGCTGCGGGTTTTCTTTTCCACAAGAACTAAATTCAAGACAGGAGATGGACGACAATCATATGCAATCGAGTATCCTGAGCCTCTTTTACACGTTGCACTCTGCTCAGGAAATCACTCGGATCCTGCGGTATTCTCACTCTTCTTATTCACTTGCCATATATTACGTTTCTAACATTCATATACTCATATATTTCCTTTTACTCGATTAATAAATGATATTTGTTTGTAACAGGTACGTGTGTTTACACCAAAAAGAGTGTTTCAAGAGTTAGAGATTGCAAAGGATGAGTATATTCGAGCTACCTTTGGAGTGCGGAAGGACCGAAAGATCCTCTTACCAAAGCTTGTGGACACATTTGCTAAGGAATCGGGTTTGTGCTCTGCTGGTGTAATGGAAATGATCCAACAGTCTCTGCCCGAATCTCTTAGGAAGAGCATCAAGAAATGTCAGCTTGCAAAATCAAGAAAGAGCGTAGAATGGATCCCACACAACTTTGCTTTCCGATATCTTATATCAAAGGAGCTGGTGAAATGATGGCCTGATTGCATTAGTTTTCAATGCGGGTGACAATCTGCATTGTTTGCTATATGTAATATTCTTTTGTACAGGGTAGATATATAGGGTAGCATTGACATGAAAATCGGATATTGCGTGCATATAGTGTCTTGCCATGTCATGGAAGCATCTGTACTGTTGCAGTTAACTAAGTCAAGAGATTCTGCCATGAGCAGTGTAAATGAGCCGTTGTTATAATCAGATGTCTTCGAGACTGTCTGATTTTTACTTTGAATGAGCCTTGCAGATTAAGCGAACGAAAGCTATCACGGTCGTAACTCGGTTAGGACGCATTGGAACTGACTCGAGTGGTCAGCACGATCTGGGCTCTTGAGCGATTGAATTGGCAATTAGAATAATTTCTCGGATCTGAATACGAGGCATCTCCAAATGCTAACCTATGGCTTCAATTAATAACAACAGCCATTTGCCAATGAAGGTGTGGCACAATTAGTCAATGATTTGGCCTTTATCCCACAAGGACGAAGGTTTGAATCTTGCGATGTGAAGCACTAATTGGTGAGCTATTTATAATTCTTTTTGAAGATTCTCAAAGAGGTCGGGAGGTGTGCCTTGTCCTTGGTAGTTTACCTGTTATCATTACCGGCATCTACCCTATCTGATCTTTTTTCTAAAAAAAAAAAAAAAAACTACTGCCATTTATGGTTTTTGAAGGAAAAAATTAATCATTTAATTTTCATAATTTTAATATAATTGTAATTTAATTTTTAAATTTTAATTTATTTTAACTCAATTTTTATAATTTAATTCAATTGTAATTCAATCTTTTAACTTTTTTTCTTACAAGTTAATCTTTATAATTTCAGTCATTTAAATATTGATTCTTATATTTTAAAAAATAAAATTATAAAAATTAAAAATATTTTAAACTTTTAATATTTATAATATTGGTAATAAAATTGTAAAGATTATAATTGTATTAAAATTTATTACTGATACTTTAAATTATTAAATATTAAAATTATAATATTTTGAAATTTTAATATTTATAATATCTTAAATTTTTAATATTTATAATATTAGCAATAAAATTAAAAAAGATTATAATTATGTTAAAATTTATTATTATTATTTTTAAAATATAAGGATCAATATTTAAGTAGTTGAAATTACAAAGAGTGAATTGTAAGATGCAAAATTCAGAAATTGAGTTACAAATGAGTTAAAATTGTAAGAACTGAGTTATAATGAATTAAAATTTAAAAATTTAATTACAATTAAATTAAAATTATAAAAATAATTAATTTTTTTAACCGCGTGTGACCTGAGAAAGTGCGATTATTTAAAAGTGCCCAAAAAGAAAAAATGTCCTAGAAAATCAGTGGTGGAATAAAAATAATCAGATCAAGGCATTAGGGTTCAAACAAACAAGGAGAATGGTAGATAGATTTTAAATGGATCAATTAATTTAAATTAAAAAAATTTATAAGTTCAGTTCTCAATTTTATAATTTTATTATGATAGATTTGTAACTTGTGTTTTAAATTTTAATAAAAAAATAAATTTATTTATTTTTTAATTATGTAAAAATTTTAAAAAAAATAAGTTATAAATTCATCATAATAAAATTATAAAATTAAGAGTTAAATTAATTTTAAAATTTAAAATTTTGAGATATAATTTAAATTAATTGACCGATGGAGTAACTTATCCGTCATCCTTCCAATTAAAAAATGGTTATTGGATTCTGTGGGCGTAGAAAAGTTTGAGCTGATAATTTAGGAATCACTCGAGAGTCAGAAACAATTAAGTTCCGGGTCAGGTGGGCCGGCCTGCATTGTGAATCACGCAAGCACAGTAGCACACACGTGAAGTCGTGGACGGAAGGCTCAAAAGCCGTCGTGCATTGAAGTCACGCCATCTCTGGTATCCCAATCATTACAGTCAAAGACGGGGATCATTGGGATTTTATTGGCTTTGAGTGGCCTGCCTTATCTATTTCTCAAACACCATAAGCTACAGTAATGATACATGGAAGCAGGCGAAAAACGGTGGGAAGACACATAAGCAAGTGATAATTTATTAGGGATGCAAGAAGCAGAGGAACAGAGGGGATGAAGTGAGCGACTTGCAGGGGGGTAACTAGTAGGGGCTCTCGCCGACGATGTTGCCGGGGGGATTATAGAAACAAATGGTCAAGCTAGCCTTCTCCTTCACGCAAGAAGCTTGAGCGCAGCCCAGCTCGGAGGAGTTCCTCCACACCACCTGAGTATAAACCCCGCACCTGTGATTGGGCACGCACGAGTTGTTGGCGTGGTTGTAGTAGCTCTTCTCCTTCACCCACTCCTCCACCGCCTCTCGCGGCGTCACCGTCTCCCCTCCCGACCACATCTGGTTGGCGCCGTAAGTTCCCGGTTTTATGCTGGCGAATTGGCACCTCATTTTGTCTCTTTGGGATCGAACCAGCAGGCTCGTGGCATTGGCCAGCTTCGGGCTCCACTCAAGGGGGGCTACCCCAACTGCAGCTCTTGCCTGGTTGTGAGTGTCCAAGAACTCTTTCGCCGCATCCGATAGCGCAACCTCTGCTGCCATGGTGGCTGATGGCGACACTTGCAAGATGGCGAGAACTGCCACAGCGAACAAGGCACGGAGATGCACCATTTTCATCTTCACTGGTTTCCTGACCGATCTGTTGACAATAAACTAGCCGGAAGCCTGTATGGCTGTGCCGAGATTCAAGACAGCAGTGTGTATTAATTATATATTCAGAAGATGAGGCACTGAATTTAGTCAATTTACTAAGTTGTCCTTCATGGATACCTTCGACTCAATTCAGCTATCCTCCAGCTTGTTTCGTACAAAGTAATGGTTAAAATATAATTAAAAAAAAAAAAAAGATAGATGCATGGATTTCATATTCAATTATATGACATATTAGTGAGTATGAGGGGTTGGTCTGGTGGTATGTGGAAGCTATGGTGGAATCTGAGAGCATTGATTTATGGTAACGCGGACTTCTTATGGGGTCCTCTTTTTCATGTCAATATATTTCGTTTTTCAGTGCCAAGCCCATAACTCCAAAACCAAAAGTACTTTACAAAAAAAAAGAACTTCAGTCAACTATGAAATAAATGAGAAAAATAGAATATTGATATGAGTTTTAAGAAGCAAGGTTTCACTAGTGAAGGGAAAGTCTAATAGACTAAATTATATTAATTGTATTTTATGTTTTTTATTACAAGAGCTCCATAGTTCATATACAATGTTGAATACTTATGGCTGAAAAATCTATTAAAATGTCATAAAGTAATTCTCAGCATAAAAAGTGTTGTAAATATGGTTTAGACGAAAATGCACCGGCGACCTCGATATTTTCAGCTCAATTACGGAAATCTTTGATGTATTTTAAAAGCATACATTTTAGTGCAATGTATTAATATAGTGAGGAATATTCTTAATGAAATTAATGAATAAAATCCGATTTAAATTATCTGAAATTAAAATTGGTGAATTTATGTAAAGTTTATTTCATATTTTATAAAAAAATAATAAAATGAGTAAAAATACTAAAAAAAGAGAAGTTGAGAGAAATTTATCGATTCCAACTTTAAAGAATTTAAATTCAATAAAATCAGTAATTCGTAGTAAATAAACTTGAACAGAGCATGTGAAAAATGGAAAGGATGTTGTTGGGAGTCCATGTGATGTATGGGCCATGATATGGATCAACGCACATCACATGGCCCATACTGCTGGCACGCCCTCTGTCTCCCTAGGCTTCAAATTTCTCCCACACGCTATCTTCCCTACACTATAATCCATATGCTTGCTTTGCCAATGTTTCATTAATTAATTCACACCCCCTATCTATCCCACCATATGCTTCTTGCTTATGTCTATATTTAACTGAAACTATGGTTATATTTATTTTTGAGAGACAAAAAACACTTGCACGTATTGGATTGTTAATCGTAACCCCCCCCCCTTCTCTCAAAGGTTCCCTGAGACATTCAGGCTATGTGACACTACATGTAGATGGCTTAGCGGCAAATGGAATGGGAAAATGCAGTGGTGTACTCTAAGATTGCAATGCTAATTGGTTGGTGGTTTTAATGTTTGTGTTGGTAATTATCATGTTGCTGTGATTGAGTTACTTGAAATTATTAACGGTTTTCAATTATGTTGGGATATGGATTTACGGAAAGTCAAAGTATTCATAGACTATACAAATGCATTGAACCTCCTCCTTAGACTCAATCAAGAATTTCACCCATTTGTGAATATTATCACACAAGCTCAATCTATCCTCTATAAAGATTGGGATATATTGGTGAATTTTATGTTCAAGGAAGCTAATTATTGTGCTCATTTTTTTTTTGCTAAGCTCGCATAGATAAAGTAAGTGAGTTTCAATCTCTTGATCAATTCTCACTTTTTTATTTGAAGGTGGTGGATGATGATAAGGGAGCTCTTGCTTGAATTTCAAATAAAAAAAAAAAAGTACTTAGCATGGTCATTTCCGATGCCCATGTGTACAAATGAAGTTTGCTGATTTTTTTTTTAAATAAAAATATTGTAAAAAGTAATAATAGTAGTGGTTGTTGTTGTTGTTGTAATAATAATAATAATAATAATAATAATAATAATAATAATAATAATAAAGCACTCTTACGTTAATATAATTGAATAGTTCACGGATCCTCTGCAATAGATTATTGGGGTTCGTGAATTTATACAACTCTCAACAGGCAGTCAGCAGCCTCAATAAACCTGATTGTTGATAATTTGACCAGAGTTTCTTTATCCATGCACCTTCCCACCCTATATTTCATATTTTTCCTTCATCCAGCTTTATGTCACCCGTCACCCCTTGGTTAAAACGGAACATTGTTGTTGTTGCTGACAAGTAATTGAAAAAAAAAAAAAAACAACATAAGAAGTGAAAATCGGTGCCTGCAAACTAAACATGGATTAACCTAACTATGATGTAATCAATAACGAGTCTAGAATTATTGTAGTAATCAACTTATTGCCTCGTATACTAGCTACGAACTGATTTGATAACCCATTGAGGCAACTTGAAATTTGAATAATTAATGAATAACTATAAACTAAGCCTAACATATACTTTTTTTTTTTTTCAATAAATCTGGATAACCTTCATTCAAGCTGAAACAGGTACAAACAGGGTGGTAACCGAACCAGGAAAAAAACACCTACAAACAGGGAAAGCTAAAAGAAAATACACACAAGCAAGACACCACCCCTAAGAATCAAAAGCCTAACATATATTTTAGAAGAATTATTTTCCTGTATTGTCTTATATCTAATAATTACATTATGTTCAATAAATGGTGCCTAAATTTTTCCAAAAAATTAGTCTCATGATTACCAGTGAGATACCTTAAAGAGGGGGAAAAAGATTAAGATCCCGGTGAGCCATTGCAGAGCATGCAGTCATCTCGAGTTCAGATTTGTTTCCTGTGATTCGAAGGTCCGGTGAAGGGGCAACGATGCCTTTCACATGCAGCATTTGGGTAAATCTTGCTACTCTATTTCAAATAGGAAATGTTTTAAAGAGTAGAAAAACGAGTTTAATTCTTGAAAGACTTTCAAGTCAATGTGCAAAAGAAGCATTATCAACTCATAAGTTTAGATTGAATTTAAGTGATTCTAGCTTTTTAAAAAACAGAAATAGTCATCAAGAAAATTTTAATTGATTAAACTACAAGTATATATGCTGTGGTTTACGAATCTATAAAAAAAAAAAAATTAATAAGTGATGAAAACTCTAGCTTCCTCTGGGAGGCTTGATATCGAACTTACCTGTGTAATTGTGCCTCTTGTGAATCCATGCACGGAATATATAATAGGTAGCAAGTAAATGGAGTGGAGATCAGAGCTGGCATTCATTCACTTTAAATATTTTAAAAAATTAAGATAAAAATGAGATTCAGCAGGTTTTTTTTTCAAAGCGTGACAGCAGGGCATGCGTGCAAATGGGCAAGTGGCTGCATTGTCCCACGATTCCCCCCCCCCCCCCCGGGGCGCGCGGGGGTTTCTATTAATATTGCCCCACTCAAGTTGTAAACCCTGTATTTCGATGTCAAGATCCAACAAAACCTCTCCCCCTTCTTTTTCTTCTTCTTTTTGGTTATAGAGGCAAGCCCTACCTTTTTTAATCTACTATATATTCTTCCCATGACCTAGCATCACATTAGAACAACTGGAACACGACTAATAACTAAATAAAAATATCAACATCAATTTTGTAGCTTTCATCATTCTTTTGACAAAATATGATATCAACAACTTCTGTTCCAGTTCAGCAATACATGATCAAAACTTGTACGGCGATAATAATCAGATATCATAAACGCAAAACGGGAAGTGCCATTTTTGATACAGAAAAAATGGTGAGAGAAAGGGGGGCCGGGGTGGGGGAGCCCAATAAATGAATTGAATTTTACAGGAGAACTTTACCGCGCAGGGAGGCGATGATCCAGGAAGAGGCACAAACAAAGTCAGGGAAGGGCAGAGGCAGCTTTAATGGCGAGATCGCAGAGCGCAGAGAGGGACAGAGGTTGGTGCGCTTGAGAGAGTGGGACGAGGAAGTAGATTCGGCCGGGTCGAAGCTGCTCCTCCTCCGGAACCGGCGGCAAACACGTTCCCAGGTATATCGATTCCGAATTGCACAGGAAGCAGTTGGGGTTATCGGCGATCACGGACCTCGCAGTCACAGGCTGCTTCAACTCTTTAAATCCGCCCTCCAAATCCATCACCATAATCGCTGACGGTCTTCGGAACGACCCCTCAGCAATTCCCCCGCCTTTTCCTTGGCCCCTGCACGATTTCGCGCCTTTATGACTCTGAGACGAACCACACTGTCCCATTGCAATTGCAGAACCAGCGAGGATGATATCGGAGATCAGAGAGAGGGAGGGGAAAGAACCTCACTGAGTTGTGAAACAATTGTTCTTTGTTTTTTTTTTTTTTCCAATGGTTCCAGAATTTGCTTTCCTTGCCTTGTTTATTGTTTAAAGTATACCCGGCTCTTCGAAAATTTGAACTGGGACTTTTTTTTTTTCCCGGTTGTCTAAAATGCGAGCAGTTATAAAACTAATCCTCAAACAATGTTAGACTTTTAAAATGATGATATCCCCCAAATACACTAAGCGTCAACCTCAGTGAAATTATAATTTGTGATGGTCTTATTAAAGATGATAAAAGTAATTAAATTAAAAAAAATTTTAAAAATATTGACTATCAACCTAATACTATTATAAAATTAATAAAAATTTTAAAAGGTCTTAAACTTTATTGAAATACCAAGATCTTTAAAATTAATATTTACTATGATTCTATAAAAGTTTTATCTCTTAATAATCAGAGCTATCCTTATACTCACCTTTATTTAGTTATTATCAAAAACACCAAAGACACCATGCGCAATTGACAATAACATTTGAGCACGTATACAGAAAAATTAATAGATGTGTTCGCGTAATGGCATACAAGATTTCAATGAAGAATTTTAATATTTATTTTTTTAAATATTTTACCTATTAATTGTATAAGCGACTTTTGAAATTAACTGATTTTGGTCTTTGCACAGTGTTACCGTACTCTTGTATTTTTTTTTTTTTTAAAGACCCGCCACGGAGCCCAGATCGCCGCCCCGCACGACTATGAAATTTCAAATTTTTCAATTTTCAGTTAAAATGATCATATTACTTTTCTAAAAAATATTTTCCAGAAATTGAACGCAGCGAATTGCCGCACGGAATTCACCGATATAATATAACAGGTTAATTGGAAATAGTAATATTAAACGTTTATGAAAATATTTTTAAATTAATACATAAATAATTAATTACTTTAATTTAGACCTTCTTACTCGCATAAATCTTACTTTATTTTTTTTTCAAAAGGGGGTTTCTCATTTGATTACTTTCTCTTTTTGTTTTTAACGTATCTTTGTGGTCGACGCGCCTTAACATTTAGTTTTTTTTTTCCTTAAAACATCGTATCAGATATCAAATAAAATGAATTTAAATTGTTTGGCTCTCTTAATACGTAGGTATGGTAAATATGACTTCCATGAACAGTCGGATATTTGAATATATGTTTGTATTGTGTTTATTCTGGTTGTGAAAAATAAATAAATAAATAAAGACGTCTCGCTATGACTCCCAATCGACGTATTAAGATAAATCAGGGATGGTTTGGTACTTCATTCTTACAGGGATGGCCATCAATTTCGAGAATTACGCGTTTCGTATTCATTAGGGAAAGCGATAGGCAAACATATGCGAATCTTCTTGTTCAAACGACAACATATTAATATCGAAAGCATTGAACCACGATCTTTACGAGAGTCAACGTCGGGTGTTGCTGAAATACTTTTTTCAAAATAATAATAATAAAAGTAGGCTTTTTCTGCAAGGTCAATTCTCATTTCACAATCACTCCATCGCTATCTATTGAATTTTAGTCGATTAATCAACAAAACGATTAATTACCATTTTTAATACTTTTAGGTAGAACATGTAATTAGGGTGGACTGGACTTCGGATCATATTTAATTTGCGTCAACTCAAATAAACCCAAACATGCATAAAAGCTCATGCATATAAGTCAATTTCAATATTATTAAATTAATTATTATTATTGTTATTATTATTATTATTATAGAGAAATGTATTTTTTCAACGCCATTTGGATTAGAAAAATTATATATATATATATATATATCCAGATGGGCACAAAATTGGGTAATTTGACCTCAATACTGGAAAAAATAAAATTATCTACCCATCCATACTTTGAAAAATATTTTTCTGCATATTACAAATTTGAAACTCAATTTATATTAGACCGAGATCCAAATCTTTGTTTTAAACGTGGAATTGCAAAACTTGGCCTCAATCAAACTTCAAATCCAGTCTTGTGCTCATAATTAAAAAAAAAAAAGGGTCTATGCCTAGTCTTGCAAGATAGCATGTCATCCCAGTTCCCAAATACACCTCCCCCACTTCCTACCTCCGCTCTCCCTCCTTGTATGTGTGAATCATAATAAATGGTGTGTTATATGTGTGAATCATAATAAATTGGTGTGTTATATATGATATGTGGTGGTGTGACTTTTTTTTTTCCTCCAACATATAAGTGGGTGTTTGTTATACATAATATAAATAATATATTAAAATTATAATTGTAATTATGTATATAAAAAATATGAAATACCTTAAAGAAAATGTAACATTTAAAATGAAATCTTTGTATATAATAATAACACACAAATATATGGGTTCATTGTTGGCACGTAAAAAATGAAAAGTCTATATTTATTATTAATTTTGTAATAATTTTAAAAAATTAAAATTTAATCAGTACTTTTTAAAAAATATAATTTAACATTTTTAAATCTAGACCATTTAGGATAAATTTGGATAATCAATTTATATTTTTTAAAAAAGATGTTAATATTAAATTGTATTATATAGATTAAATTTTTAAATTGGACAGTATAAATTTAATTTTGATAATCCAACTTAATATTAAAATTTTCAAAAACTTTTATAAATTGATAATCCAAATTTACCCTAAACAGTCCAAAGTTATTCTAGAATCCTATATTTATTTAGGTATTATTTATTTTAATATTATTATTACTACTTACATATATTTTATTACTTTATAGTATATCTATTTACTTTATATAATCCTATGTATATTATTGGTATTAAAACATGGTTGTATTTGAAGTATACTCTTTCCGTTTCAAAATGTAAGGCATTTTTTGAGAAATTGAATAATAAAAATTGTAAGATATTTTTAGTCTTTTGAGGTCTAATCATTGTATTTTTTTCAAGAGCGTCCCTATTGATAATGACTTTATATTTATTGTAGGGTGTTCAATAGGGATAAATATGAAAAAATAGAGTTAGTTTGAAAGTAGGTAATTACTTTATTGAGGAGTGAGATTCGATTAAAAATACTTTATATTTTTTAATGAAGGGAGTATATTTTATCATAATTGTTATTTTTGAAGGGTGTTACACTATTGATGTCGTGTTTTTGGAATTTATGCTAGTATCGGTTTATGTATTTACACGTATTATGCTTAGCCCTGTATTTGAGTCATTGAGATCAGTGCATCCACTCCTTATTTTCTGTGATTCTTTTCAGATCACAATTTCATGTGAGAGCAAGGGAGAGCGTGATAGGCAAAAGACATACATAATTGTCTTTCTTTTATCTAAGCATAAGTGGTTATAGCATTGCCAATTGGAGGTATTCATGCATATTTGGTTTGGGTGTCGAAGTCTCATGGTCGTTGCAATGTTATGTTGACAAGCTAGTTTGTTTGGTAGGCTGTACTCACTATGATAAAAGACCATTTGTATTTTTAGTTGTATGCCTCGTGTTTTTGGTGGGAAGTCCAATTGTGCGTAGAGTTGGGAAATGAGTGGGCCTAACCTATATGGGCTCGGCCCTTATGGGTCTAAACCCGAAAGTCCGGTTACCCCAATTTCACCTAAAAATTAAAGCTTGGCTCTTATTCAAAGGGCTTAAGGCTGAGCTCATAAGCCCGTTTATGAAAAAAATAGAACAAAGTTTAACATTTTAATTTATTTAGAGTATTTTAAAATTCAAGATACATCAAACCAAAGTTTCACATAATTTAAAAAATAAACTCAAGATTTAGAAGTTCAAATAAGATAAATACAAAAGTCATTATCAATGTTAATTAAGATCTCTCTCATCATCATCCACGAAAAAAATGTTATTTCCAATTCTATCATGGATTTGAGAGTGAGGGACTGAGAGACTGAGTATGAATGTACTGTGTATGGTTTTTTTGGAAGTTGAAAGTCCAACTCTAATTCGGCCATTTCCCAAAGTTCAATATAAAAGCAAAAAAAAAAGTTAAACGGGTTGGACAGGCCACCCGAACTCGAGTTCATTTTTTAGGACTTAAAAGGGCCGGGCTTCGAAGCCCGGTTATCCTAAAAAATATCAAATTTTCAAGCTCAAACCTTTATTAAAACGGGCAGCCCATCAAGCCCAACCCTTATTCCCAACTCTAATTGTGCAGATTTGTGAATTTTATGATTAATCCACTAACCTTGCTCAGGATGCTAAATATTAAATTATTAATTGACCTAAGAAGTTATACACAATTGATTATGTAAGTGACATGTTCTATAAAGGGCTTTGAAAGGAGAGACACTTGTTTGGGTGTAAGGAGCATAAATGCTCATTGTGGCACTTAATGTTTCAAGATCCTCATTGGGTGCCAAATTAAGTTGTAAATGGTATCATCAGTGAAGTATTATAATTATATGTGTATGGGTGTTTGGATTATCTTAATTGAAGGTCTAGATAATTATTTAGGTAATTTATAAGTTAAAATTGTTTTTTTTTTTTGCATTTGTTGTGCTGATACGGGACTTTCGCTACAGCAAATATGCATCTTGTTGTGGTGGATTGCTTTTAGTTGAGTAGGCTGCAAAGGAGAGAGCAATAGGTCATAGCGATATGGTTTCTATACTGCACATCGTGGTGAACACATACTTGGCTATGACCTATATTAAATTCATGGCTGGTCGTGGATGTGTTATGCAAGGTTATTTGCAACAAATTGTTCCTTAGCCTTTACGATCAAGCACAGTTTGGGTTCAATGCTTGTTTTGCCTTTTTGAAAGCAATTTTCAATATTCTACGTTTTTCATGTTTCCATATATTTACATTTTTGTCACTTTGATTGTTTATAAGGTTTTATTGTACTGCTTCTTTATATTTTTCAAATGTCTATTAGGATTCCTAGTTTGTCTTATCATTCGTAAACCATGTGTTCTTGAATAACCATGGTCGATTCTTAGTAATTAAGGGTTATTGTGATTGATTGAAATTAATGATGGAGGTCATTACAATACTAAAATCTTAATACAAATGATAACTTTATTTTTATAAATTAAAACATTTATGACAGTGTGGGACTTCAATTTAACTTTTTTCTTGTTGACTGAAAAGTGCATTCATAGTC